TCTACCGCCTTGAGCCTATCGGTCCTATCTCCTGGCAGTCAAGCAAGCAGGAGTTAATCGCACTATCTTCAGCAGAAGCAGAATATATCGCACTCTGCTCAGCCACCAAGGAGGGACTTTACCTTCGCGAACTACTGGAAGAAGCGAAACTAGCCGAGTTACCCAGCTTCACCGTGTTCTGCGACAACCAATCGGCAATTCGCATCGCCAACAAAAACGGCTTCGCAAACAGGACGAAACACATCGCCCTGCGCTATTTCTTCGTGAAGGACGAGATAGAAAAAGGGAAACTCGATCTGTCATACTGCCCAACATCCGAGATGGCAGCCGATTACTTGACCAAGAAACTCGGAAAGCAGAAGTTCGAATACTGCATGATGCTGACTGGACAAGGCCACGTCACCAGCAGCGACACTCCAGAAGCGAAGGGGAGTGTTGGAAACAATAAGTCCTAAGTGCGCTTCTGTCGTATCAAAACCCAAGGCACCAAGCGAAGCAGTCCCAATCGAAGCATCGAGTCAACCTCGGAGGTTAGGGTAACCGCCTGGAGGTTACGAGAAAGTCAAAGGTCGCTGACCTTTGACTCGACAATCACAGCGCGACAGTTAAGGACACACAACTGACTCGTTACAGAGCAGTTGCCCGAGTCGCACTGTATCGAACCGCAACAGCAATACAGTTATCTACCTATCTATTCGTATTCCCTGTACTCTTATATAAATCCTTGTATTTGCTTGTTTAATTCAATCTACTTTGCTCTCACACACCAGTGCAAGGTCGGTTCACAATCCTCATCAAACGCTTCCGCTATTACAAGTTTTCTACCCAAGAGTTCTCCTCTGCAAAGATCCTAAGGGCTATTTTCTCAGCCCAACAGCAACAAAATCAACACCCTTGTCAATGCTTGCCTTGAGCTCTGGCTTCAACTTATCCAACCACACCCTGCACAGCACAGCGAAAGAAAGAGAAAAACGGCAGAATGACAACAATGGCGGCTCATGAGACCTGGGGTGGAAGCATCTCGTTTGAAGGCGTTTATTCTCTGATCGTCAAAGCACATGGACCCGCAAGCATGTGAGAGTCACCATTACTAGGATACAAGGGAGGTTCAAAACCACCCATTCACGTTCAGACAGGGGGGAACTCACCGCTCATACTGAGTCATGGGCCCTAGCCCTAGCACCTCCTCCACTCCTTGCCGCCCCAGCACCACTCGCGAGGCAAAGAAGGGCAGCTCCGTCACCTGCTCATGCACGGCAGAGGGTGGTGGTGGGGGTGGGAGGGGCGATGCTTGTCTTGACTAAAAAAGCACCTTGTTATGACGGCACACGAGGCAAATTATGGCAGCTCTGTCGGCTGCTCATGTATAGCAGGGGGTAGTGGTCGTGGTGCTGGAGTGGGGGGGTGGCAGAGGTGGGAGTCAATTCACATGTTACAGGCTCGCCTTGGTGCAGAGACACGGGCACTCGTACAGGTTACAGGTGACAGGCACACAGGCACAGGCACTGGCACAAGCACAGGCATGGGCACGGGCATGGGAAAGGGCGTGGGTGTGAATACAGGCATGGGCATGGGCATGGGAAAGGGCATGGGTGTGAATACAGGCATGGGTATGTGCATGTGCATGTGCATGTGCATGGGCATTGGCATGGGCACAGGCAGAGGCACGTGGCAGGGGTTGCTGACCGTGGATTGCACGAAGGCGCACTCCACAATACCCGCCTCCCCCCGCATGGCCCGTAGACACGCCTGCGCAAACTTGGCCGCTGCATACGCCTGTGCACGGGGAGGGATAGGTGGGATGGGAGGGACCGGACACCAAGGAGGAATGGGGTGGGTGAGTGGGCGTTGAGTTGAGCAGTACGAGTTAAACAGAATATGGGTTGGTTGTGTTGAGAGGGTCATATCAGCTCACGTGGTGGCGGTGGCATGCAATGACTGAGTTGGGGTCTATCTGCTGCTTGCAGCAGAGTTGGCTTTAAGTTAGCACAACATGATGCAGGTTATCATGGGCGTGGCTTGTTGGTATTTTGTTTTTATCCTCAGAATTCAACTACTATTTCTTGGTAGACGACAAAACACGATGGGAAGGGTCTCACCATGGACAGGGTGGCAGAACCAGCGCCGGCTTTGGCCTGCAGCAATGCACGGAGGGAGGGGAACAGGGGGCAGGGAGACAGGATCAGCATACGCAGGGCACTGCGATGAATGCGCATTGCACAATCATGCAAAATTGTGCTGTGCAAAAAAAACAGATTTGTTTTTGCATGTGCTGGTAACAAACATGGTGATAAATCGTGGTTAGGTTGGCAAATTCTGTTTGTGCAAACCGCTTTGCAAGTGATGGCATCCACATGGGAAGCACAGTGTAGACACGGTTCACCTGGCTACAAAACTGCTTGTGCCCCCACACTCACCTCGACGACCTCCGTGCCTCCGTTTTGGATTCTGTTGGTCAGTTGGTCTAGCTCCTCCTGACTGAAGCTCACCGCAGGTGTCACCTGCACACACCGCACACACAGCACACACCGCGTACACCCCACACACAGAACACACCGCACACACAGACAGCACACAGCACACGCCACACACACAGTAGGCGACACACAGTCAGCATTGACCTCTCCATTGAGCAGCTACAGCTATGGGAGCCATTGTGAAAATGGGAGCAGGGGGCGCCTGAGGAAGCAGCTACGGCTACGGGAGTGAGTGTAAATATGCGAGCAGTCATACCTGCGAGAGCAGCGGCAGGATGGTGATGCCTGCATGGCCGCCCACCACTGGCACGTTCACTTCCTCGGGATTCAGCCCCAGCACCTCCGCCTGCCGTGCCACAGGCGCAGAAAATTTGCACAGGATACACGGGAGTTTTCACAAGGGAGGTTCTTAAGGCGCCTCATAAATGCATGTGATTCGCTGCTACTCCATACAACCATCCCGCAAGCTCCATCACATTCAGGGAACGTACCACGAAGGTGTTGGCGCGGACCACGTCGAGCGTCGTGACGCCCATCAGCTTGCGCGGATCGTACGTCCCCGCGCGCCGGAACACCTCCGCGGCGATCGCGACCGTCGAGTTCACCGGGTTGCTGATAATGTTCACGACGGCGCGCGGGCAGTGCTTCGCGATTCCCTCGCAGAGCGTCTTGACGATGCCGGCGTTGATCTTGAACAGGTCGTCGCGCGTCATGCCCGGCTTGCGCGGCACGCCCGCGGGGATGATCACCAGGTCCATTCCGTCTAGCGCCGCGCCCAGCTGGTCATTGCCCAGGAACCCGCGCACGACGGCGGAGGTGCTGGTGTGGCTGAGGTCGGCCGTGACGCCGGGCGTGTTGAACACGTCGTACAGGTGCAGCACCGATACAAGCGGATTCATTTTAAGCAGCAGCGAGAGTGGTTGCCCAATGCCACCCGCCGCGCCCAGCACGGCGACCTTGAAGCCGCCGCTGCTGCCCTTGGCGCGCGTGACGTTCATGCTGAGCCCACCATCCTGCGCGCAAGGCCAACAAAGGAATTTTCTATAATGTCACACATCGCTCTTCATACCGTAATACTCGGTATTGGATAACTGATTAAGTGTAATTAACGAAAAAAAAATCAATAAAAGACCATTACGAAAACGGATGATGCGAGCAGCAGGGCGACGCGGGTGAATTCCGATGCACGCCAAAAGAGCACGCGATGCGTGAGACGAGACAGTGGCTACTCACGCTGGTTGACACGGGCGGGCAGATGTGCGAGGCGATGCGGTTGATTCGGTTCAACGGACTCATGGTGAGATGCGCGGCTGACGAGACGACTGACGAAGACGACTGGCGTAGGGCTAGTAACGGCCTTTGTTCTAGCCTCGCGTGGTACTGGGACTATGCGGGAGGAGTAACACAGCGACAGGGAAGATATGAAAGCCTACTGCTGTTGCCAAGTGTGCTAGGGCTGCTATGCGTTCGCAAAATGAATGCCAGAAGTAGGAATATCCGGGGCTTCTGTGCTTTTGAATGGCTTCAGGCTGCCAGCCTCCGCCTCAGTCAGTCCCCTCCCAAGACTGAATTTCGAAATCGAAATTCAAGAGTCAGGCTGGTTGGTTCATGCAAATGCATCATGCGTGCACTGGGTTTCGGTTTCGGTTTCGATTCGCTTCCACATGGATCATTGCCCCGGGAAAAGGAGACCACTTGAGCTGGCAAGTCGCCTGACTGATGTGTGTGTGTGGTCCCAGCAGTCTTTCCAGAAGACCCATGCTGACGTGATCCTGGACTCGTTCAGGCAGGTGCTGAAAAGTCATGTCACGTCAGCAAAGGCTGATGTGGACTTGGGAACCTCTATAGTCCCTAGTGGCAGCCGCGCTATCGTGTGGACTCGTTTCAGTGTGGGCCATTTCACATTACACTAGCATACAGAACGTTTACACGAAAGGTTTATCCTTTCAAATTTGGCCTTCCTGACACTTGGGGATTGCCGAGCCATCCGTACCTGTGAATGGACCAATGGCGATAACTCGAGCCTTGTTCCACACGCTGGCTGAGGCTGTGCCTGTCCTGTGTGCTGGCCGCACCTGCGCGTCGTCTCAGTCGATCATACATATGTGCAACAGAGCTGTTTCTTTGGCTATTGTCGGAAACCAGGGTGCCTGTCAACGCTAACTAACAGCCGTCCTACCTCATAGTTCCCGCAGATCAGAGACCTGCCGTTGCCTGCGCCGTCTCGCTGCTCTTTCGTCTCGGCAGCACCGGCGATCCTTAGCTGATTCATCCTGAATCCTAACGGAACCTCCGCCTGAATCCGCCTGGCATCACGCCTGGTAAATTCGCATCTCACAAATATACCCGTATCCGCAAATTCGCATATCCGCAGAGCATTCTAGGACTTCGCCGTTAGAAAGCGTGGCCTTTCAGATATTCTCCACGTTGACTCGATTCTGCTTCGAACAGTTTCAAACCGCTTTCGAACAGTTTCAACCAGTTTGAACCAGTCCAGAAGCGTGCGGAGCAGCGCGCGCGAGGATGAGTCGTCAAATGTGCGGCGAGTGCAAGCGCAACACGGAGCTGGTACACGACCACGCTGCGGGCGACCTCATCTGCGCCGAGTGCGGCCTCGTCGTCGAGGCGCACAGCGTCGACGAAACTTCCGAATGGCGTACTTTTTCTAACGAAGCCGCTAATACCGACCCCGTGCGTGTCGGCGGGCCGACAAATCAGCTGCTGACAGATGGCGGGCTGACGACGATGATCAGCGCCGGGAAGAACGGGCAGGGCGGGGGGGATCTCCCCGGGCGGAAAGGGTGGGCCAGCCAGGGCTCGAACCCGGACCGGGACTTGATAAACGCGTTTCAGTCGATAGGCGACATGGCGGACAGGTGAGACGCCGCTAGGGAGAGAGAGGGACTTGAGGGAAAGTGGGAAGGATGGCCGAGGTCACGGGTTCGAATCTTGAGGGTGACCTGATTACCGCAGTTTAGGCGATCAGCGACATGGCGGGCAGGTGAGGGGCGTTGGGTGGTGGACATGCGAGGGTGGCGAGGGAGGCTGGAAAAGGTGACAAGAAGGTGGGCAGATGGGTTTGGCGTGTGGGTTAAGAGAAGTGGCTCCGTAGGATAGCAGAGAACGGTGAGCTATCAGAGACCCACGACCAGCCATCAGTGAGCGACATCAACGATCGGATGTGCTGGTGGCCTGTAACATGTCAGATTCAATTGCGGTATGGTGATTGGCAGACATCGCATGTCTGAACCCACAGCCATCAACCAGCATGGCACCAGCACGAGCCATTCAATTGTTTCTCCCTCCCCGCCCATTCCCTGCGCCCCCGTTTACCCCCCCTACCTTGTTCGCTCCCTCCATCATGTAACCTGGTAACCACCTCGGCCCACCCAACTTCGCCTGTGCTCACCTCGCCGCGTCGCCACCGCCGTGCCATGCACACGTGTGTGGAATGCGACGTGGGCCGGCTTCTGACATTGCAGACTGGGCCTCGTAGCCACTATCCGGGTAGGCCTCTTCCTCCTCGGCCCTCTTTGTCTCTCCTCGTCCTCCTTGTCCCTCCTCGCCCCTCCTTATCCCTCCTCGTCCCTCTTTTTCCCCCCTTGTATCTCCTCGCACCTCCTCCCCCTTGCTCTCTTCTTCATCATCTGAACGTCCTAGGACCATGTGCCTCCCCCTCTCACCCCCATATTTTGTAATCTGTGTTCGCCCCTCCCAGGACCGTGCGAACGAGATACTCAAGATGGTGCACGACTTGGACTTGAAGAGTATCCCCCTCACATCCCTACTACACCTTTCCCCCTCTTTCCCCATACCCTCGCATTGTGCTTGCCCCTACCAGGACCGTGCGAACGAGATATTCAAGAAGGTGCACGACTTGAAGAGCATTCGCGGGCGCAGCAACGAGGCCACGTATGCTGCTTGCCTTTACATCGCATGCCGGCAGGAGGACAAGCCACGTACCTTCAAAGGTGAGTGGGGGGGGGTTGGGTGCGAGGAGTGCAGATCTTGAAACCAAAGTTGCTGGTGCTGTCAGCCCTCGCATGCCCTCACGTGCCCTCCCACCCTCACGTGCCCTCCCACCCTCACGTGCCCTCCCACCCTCACGTGCCCTCACCCTCACGTGCCCTCCCACCCTCACGTGCCCTCCCACCCTCACGTGCCCTCCCACCCTCACGTGCCCTCCCACCCTCACGTGCCCTCCCACCCTCACGTGCCCTCCCACCCTCACGTGCCCTCCCACCCTCACGTGCCCTCCCACCCTCACGTGCCCTCCCACCCTCACGTGCCCTCCCACCCTCACGTGCCCTCCCACCCTCACGTGCCCTCCCACCCTCACGTGCCCTCCCACCCTCACGTGCCCTCCCACCCTCACGTGCCCTCCCACCCTCACGTGCCCTCCCACCCTCACGTGCCCTCCCACCCTCACGTGCCCTCCCACCCTCACGTGCCCTCCCACCCTCACGTGCCCTCCCACCCTCACATGACCTCTTCCCCTCATATGCCCCTCCTCACTGCCACGTGTCACTCTCCCTCCACCACACGTGCAGAGATAGGGTCAGCAGGCAACAACATATCAAAGAAGGAGATAGGCCGAGCGACCAAGTTTATAGTGAAGCAGCTAGAAGCGGATATGGGGGCGGTGGACATGGGAGCGGTCAATGCAGGCGACTTCATGGTGAGTCGGCTCTTCCCCATGATGAGTGAGTGGGGGCCCCCTGGGAGGGACCTCACATACGTGAAGCGGATTCGGGGGCCGTGGACATGGGAGCGGTCAATGCAGGCGATTTCATGGTGGGTAGTAGGCGGTTTTAGTATAAGCAAGTGCGGTTTCAGTATAAGCAGGTGCGGTTTCAGTATAAGCAGGTGCGGTTTCAGTGTAAGCTGGTGCGTCGACTCAAAAACTCTTTCTCCTCTACCCCCCCTGCGTCACCACCACTCACCCCTCACTTCCCTCACCCGCTTCTCCTCCCCCCTGCTTCTCCTCTCTTCCCTCCTTTTCCTCCCCCTGTCCCCCCCCTGCAGCGGCGCTTCTGTTCGCATCTGGGCATGAAGGGAGCGCCAGTGCAGGCGGCAATAGGGGTGGTGCAGAGCACAGAGCAGATCGACATGCCCTTGTCCCTCAGTGTCACCACCACTCACCCTCACTCCTCTCACCCCCCACGCCCCCTTTCTCCACCCCACCCCCCCGTTCCCCCTGCAGCGGCGCTTCTGCTCGCATCTGGGCATGAAGGGGGCGCCAGTGCAGGCAGCAATAGAGGTGGTGCAGAACACAGAGCAGATTGACATCCGCACCAGCCGAGCGCCCATCTCCAAGGCCGCTGCCGCCATCTACATGGTCACTCAGCTCTGCAGCAACCCCGTGCCCACCAAAGGTAGTGTATGGATTATTGTGCCATGGTTGTGTCTGGTGCTGGTGGTGTATGCGCACGAGCAGAGCGCCCATTTCCAAGGCTGCTGCTGCCATCTACATGGTCACTCAGCTCTGCAGCAACCCCGTGCCCACCAAAGGTGAGCGGCATGCGAGACACCTGCTGTTGCGAGGTGCATGCCAGTGTCGCATGCAAGGTGCACGTGCGTGCATTGGAGTCTCGTTCTTTTCAAGGTGCACGGTGCAATGCCTTTGCCTCGTCCCCTTCCCTCTTCCTGTTGGGTTCTCTCGTCCCTCCGTTCCTGCTCCTCGCCTCTCCCACCTCCCATGTCCCCCTGGCCACAGACATGTTGCATTGCAGGTAACAGGGATGGCAGAGAGTGGCACCATGTGCACCAGCTATGAGGGCCTTTCCGTTTCTCTCCCCTCTCCTCCTCAAATGCTTCTCTTCCTCTTGCCTTTCCACTCCCCCTTGCCGCCAGACATATCACACGCAAGGGCACGGCTGAGGGGACTTGTGAGTCGACTCAAAAGTCACTTTCCACTCCCCCTTGCCGCCAGACATATCGCGCGCAAGGGCGTGGCTGAGGGGACTTTTGAGTCGACTCAAAAGTCACTTTCCACCCCCCCTTGCCGCCAGACATATCACACGCAAGGGCATGGCTGAGGGTACCATCCGCAACACCTACAAGCACCTGCTCCCCTTCAACCTGCCATTTCCCATCCTAATTCTCCATTCCCTACCTGCCTGTCATTCGCCTTTCGCTTCAATCCCCCTACCTGCAGATATATCGAGGGCAACGGGAGTGGCAGAGGGCACCATCCGCAAACACGTACAAGGACCTGCTGCCCTCCCTTCCCCCTCCACGTCTCCTCTTCCTCCTGCACCTGTTCATCTCCTCTCCCCTTGCATTCCCCCTCCCCCCTTTCTGCAGACATATCGAGGGCAACGGGAGTGGCAGAGGGCACCATCCGCAACACGTACAAGGACCTGCTGCCCTTTGCCTCGCGCCTGCTGCCCGAGTCATACGCCAAACCAGAGGACATTGCCAAGCTCTCCCCCTCGTAGCCCACTTGCCTTGCTGCCACTCACAGTCGTCTTCTCTGCATGTTCTGGGTGACGTGACGGCACATGTGAGAGTTGCAAAAGCGACTTCAGTAGTGCTCCCTGACGGGACAACCCTTCATCGCAGCGGTTTCTGACTGAGGCGCTGCAAAAGAAAACACCCAGCTTCATTTTGGGGAGAGTTTATTCTTCAGGTTGTGCTTGCTGTGATTGAGAAGAGAGCGTGTTGTACACTGTACACTGTGATTGAGAAAGCATTGTACAATATATAAACCGAGGCAGCCATGTGGGCGAGCTATCTTCTCCCTTTGTTCTTTACCCATTCCATCTCGCCGGCACAGATGTTTGTATCGTTACAGTGTGCAGTGCGCAAGCCGTGTCTGAAGCGCTGTATATCCTGAGAGAACGTGGAGGCAACAGAGCCAAAGAACACGGTAGCCTGCACACACACCAGCTTCTCTAGCACCGATGCTGCAATGCCGATGTTCCTGCTGTCGCTCACAATGGAAGCTAATGGTGTAACCCAATCATCGAACTGATTTTGACCTTCAAACTCTGGGTTATTGCTGGTGTTGGTGCTGCTGCACATGCTGCTGGTGATGGTGACTGTGGCACCGTTAGTGGCATTAGTGTATGTGACGATAACGGGGGGTTTATCCAGGGTGCCGGTGAGGGGTGGAAGGCGGTGGAAGGTGATGCTGGTGGGAGTGATGCGAGCTATATTGCGGGTGAGCTCCTGCAGCTGCCAGGGTGTGAGGGGGTGGGAAGTGGGCAGAGAAGGAACTTCTGATGGCTCTATGGGAGAGCCATGCATGCTTCAGGGCTCTGATCCGCAATGAAATGGCACTGCGAGGGTAACCAGACCAGAGGGAAAAGCAGAAACGACTTCACAGCAGGATCTTGCTCACAAGCTCACCTGCTTGCTCGTGGCTTTCTACAATGCTCACAAGCTCACCTGCTTGCTCGTGGCTTTCTACAATGCTCACAAACTCACCTGCTTGCTCAAGGCTTTCTACAATGCTCACAAACTCACCTGCTTGCTCGTGGCTTTCTACAATGCTCACAGCTCACCTTCTTGAGCCTGGGATATGCCACAGTCTCCCCTCCTGCATCCCACACTAATCACTGTACAGAGAGCATGGCACTGCCTCTATCACCTTTTCACTCTGCCATGCATGCACGCACGCATGCTCACCTCCTTGAGCTTGGCGTTGGTGGCAAGGAACAGCTCTTGAATGCCGCTCTCCCTCACCCTCTCCACCACCCAATGCGCCACCTGGGACGCACCAGAGCCAGTAACCATGTTACCACGTGTTATTACGAAGCAGGTTCAACAAGAGATATCTAGCAACGCGGCACCACAGCTCCCTGCAGACGTGGTTTGGAACTACGCTTGCTTCAGTTCAGACTGTGTTGAGCCTCCTTAAGAAAAAAAGAGGGAGAACCTCTCCTGAAGGCAATAAAACCAACCCAAACTGTGCATGTCACCTGATGCACGGGGTAGAAGCAAGCATGTTTGGGCCCGCGCCAGAAGCACCAGGGCTTGAAGTCGCCCCGCCGCCAGTGTAGTGCCAGGAACGGCCGCCCCCCAAACAGCCGCCCCACCAGCAGCTCAGCGCTCTCCAGCAGCGCGGGGCGCGGGCGCAGGAGGAGCGGCGAGGGGCAGGCGGCGGAGCGGCGGAAAGGCAGGTCGAGAAAGGGCTGCTGCTGTGCTGTGATGGTGGTGGTGGTTCCATCAGCAGGGGACTGCTGAGGCGTTTCTCCATCCATGTTTTCCTCCACTTGTGCAGGAGGCTCATGTGTGGCGCCCCCTGTTAAAGTCCCTTCATGTGCGTGAGAGACGTGCAGGTTGAGCAGGTCGCCCACCACAAGCACGGGGGAGGGGTTGCTGCCCCAGGCACGCAGCACCTGGCGGGTCAGTGCGGGATTTAAGGGAGGGGAAAATGCGGATGGAAGATGGGAGACGTGCAGGTTGAGTGGGGCCCCACCACAAGCACAGGCGCAGGGTTGCTGCCCCAGGCATGCAGTACCTGGTACGAAGGTGAAGAGAGGAGGAATGCGAGTGAGTATACGAAGCAGACACATGTGGGAAAGCAAGTGAGTGCGAGGCACTGACCTGCTGTGGAGAGGCGAGCATGGGCAGGCAGGCAGCGTGGGTGGTGGTGTTGGGAGGCAAATGCACGAGAGGAGAGCGGAAGAGCGAGTGGGAGACTGGCACTCGTGTGTCGAATACAACCCCTGGCGTGCCTGCTGCCATCCCACTCCCACCATCGCTTGCCATCCCACCAGCAGCACCATTATCACCATCATCACCATTATCACCATCATCACCAGCTGCATCACCATCACCAACAGCAGCGCCATCAGCAGCAGCAGCGTCATCATTCCCACCGCTCCCGCTCCCATCATCTCGCCTCATCTCGTCAAGACCAGGGCAGTGCAACAGAATGTTATCAACCTGATCCGCACATGCCCCAGGGGGGCCGTGCCAACACACCACCTGAGACACCTGAACAGGCCGCCTGAATTTTCTCCTGAACTCAGCAGTGGTGAAGACGGTGGGGCCGATGCACGATCTGAGATAAGCGAGGTCGAGCACTAAGTGCAGGTCGTAGTTGAGGATGGTTTCAGAGCGGTGGAAAGGGATTAAGAGGGTGCGGTTGAGCAGGCCTGCAAGCAGCATGTGGTTGCGCAGGCAGAGCAGACGGTTGGTGATCTGCGTGTGTGAGGATGTGAGGGAGAGATAAACACAGATAGGGACGGGATGAGTGTGGCTCACATAAACGTGCAAACCGAACAACGGGTCTTACCTCTCTCTCACACCTCGCATATCTCTCAGAATGGTCAAAGATCGCGCATTTCTGACCTGCCCTCGCACGCAGTGGGCCAGGAGGAACCGGTTGCTTGCAGGCGTCCACCTCACAGTGCCACGTGTCAGCGCGCCCTGCTCCCACGTGGCATTGAAGAGCGCACCTGACCCCTCGGCGCATTCCTGCAGCAACGGGTGGCTGCGGGGAGGGTGTGAGGGGGAAGCGAGACGGCCAGGACGGGGCGAGAGACGGATTGACCGAGGGACTGAAGGGTGTAGACGGGATCGAGGTTGGGGGAAGAGATGCGGAACACGAGGGAGCGGAGGAAACGAGGGAAGCGGTTGGTGAAAGGAGAAAGACGAAAGGAGAAAGGAGCAAAAAAGGAGAAAGACGAAAGGAGCCAGGGCGTGGGAGAGGCGGGAGGAGAAAGACGCACGTGTTGAAAGCTGATTGGGTGCGCCGCAGAATGCACGCCACGACGGCCAATAGGAGCAACGGAAACGCCGTCCAGTTCATGGCAAGTGTCCGACGAACCAGGGGTAACACCTGGTTACCAGCGACATTGGCCAAATGGCGAGAAAACTGCGAATAAGGAATGCTGAGACGGCTTCATGAGAAAGAATGAACTCGCCGATTGGGAGACTGCAGTGAATCAAGGTGAATCAGGGTTACGTGGGTGGTAATCATTAATTTCAACAGCACACCGAGCATCTCTACTGGGGTGTCTCGTTATCAACGCTAATGCGTCCAACCTGATCTGGTGAGCCCGTGGTATATAAATAAGAAATCCATGCTATTGTGGTGGAGGGATGAAAAAACAACCGGAATCCGTTGCACAACTGTCCTCGCAGCGCACCTGTTAGTATCAATACTATCTATCCAGAACGATCCTAGCCCACGCTTCCTGTCGTGCGAAGCCCAGATGCGTTGGCTTGCGAAAATAATTAGTCCCTCACCTCACCATGCTGGTGGCGCTGGTGGAACTGTAGATACTGGGAGATGGATCAGGCAGGTTGGATCTAAGCATGACAGTGTTTCGGGGTTGAATGCGGTGCAAACACGAAGAGCCAGGGTCCAATCTGGTCGTTTTTTCACAAATCCTTCGCTTCCAAATTGCTGTGAGTGGAATCCTGTTACACCATCGAAGTTTCGCCACTGCCGAAATCCATGCGAGCTTCAGGGCGACTAGCTGACGAACGTCGTCGTTCCCTCATCTTGCCCAGCCCACTTCTCATCGTACCCCTGCGACCTGTTTTAGCAGCAACTTCACACCAGAACAGGATTCATGGGCTCAGCTCAGGCTCCTAGGTACTCTGAGAATTGTCCCCCATGGAAAAAATCATCATTCGCGACTTGACTTGCAGACCTAATTTTCAAATTTTCTTTTTTCGCTCCTGTCGCCTAAGCAGGAGCGCGCCTTGCATCCGCTTCGCCTCGCGTGTAGCTGCAGCGTCAATCTCTCATCTGCCGACGGGCTGTCTCACGCTGATGTAGCTCTGCGATGCACTTTCCACGGAATGCCGTTTGAATTCATCTTCCCTCTCCACGACGATTTCACTGTACCGCTCATCCCTTTGGCTCGGCGCGCCTGTAGCATTAGACCCAGACACAGGCACGCCTGCCGAACCAATCGTGGTTGCCGAACCACCTGTGGTGGTTGAACCAAACGTGCCTGCCGAACCGCCAATGCCTGCCGAACCAGCCTCGCCAGCCGAACCAACGGAGAACGCTGAGAAGAGATCCCCAACCACGTTCTCGTCTTCCTCCTCCACCGTGTGAACCGTCAGCATCGCATCCAGCCGCCTCACCACGTCTTTCATTTCCGGCCGTCGGATCCCGGGCATCTTGATGCAATCAAGGGCCAGATCTGCGAGTTCGACGACGGCATCCTCTGAGGCGTCCATCCGACGGTCCTTGAGCTCCTCGAGCGAGTAGCTCTGCACCAGCGTGGTCGCCTGCGCGAAAGAAACACACATTTCGCGAAATGGGAACCGAAGGGGTTACGCATGTGCATTGTGCACCGCACACTGAAGCGCAAGACACGATCCAAAGTCATCAGGACAAACCACGGAAACAGAAATAAGCACTAACGCTGCGGGTGCGTTGCGCAATGCGGTGCACACTGAGTATCTCCAGTACGCACCCATTTGCCAATGTGCGTGCCGCCCTCCACAGTGACGCGGCGCCCGCTGAGCATTTCCAGCAGCACGACGCCGAAGCTGTAGACGTCGCTTTTGGTGGTAACCAGCTCCGTGCGATTGTAGTCCGGGTCCACATACCCCGGCGTGCCCGCCACCTTGGTCGCCCTCCCCTCGCCCTCCCCAAACTTGAGCTTCCTCAGCAGCCCAAAGTCCGCTACCTTGGCCTGAGCGGGTGGGAGAGGGGGAAGGGGGAAGTGAAGAGTAGCAAGCATGAGGCAATTCTGAGGTGGTTACAAACAAAAACGACCCCGCCCTCTCCAAACTTGAGCTTCCTCAGCAGCCTAAAGTCTGCTACCTTGGCCTGAGCGGGTGGGAGAGGGGGGGAAGTAGCAGGCATGAGGCTAATATGAGGTGGTTAAAAAAGGCGCCTTTGCCCTCTCAGCTTGAGCTTTCTCAGCAACAATAAGTCTGCTTATATTGGCCTGAGCGAGTGAGGATGGGGAAGGTGGCATGCGTGTGTTCTGAGTGCCTCAAAGAATGCACTGAGGTGTTGGCAAGGCACGGCTGCGCCGGACTCACAGTGAGGTGTGGGCACGGCACCGCTCGGCTTGGAGGCTAGAGGCTAGAGGCTCACAATGAAGTGCGGGAAAAACAAGGCTAGAGGTCAGCAGCTCACTGTGAGGTGGTGGCAAGGCAAGGCAAGGAAGGCTCAGAGGCTCACAGTAAGGTTATCCCCGACGAGGATGTTGGCGGGCTTGATGTCGCGGTGAATGATGGGATTCTCAAAGCCGTGCAGATATGCCAACCCCTCCGCTGCCCCCACCGCCAGCTTCAACCGCTGCCTCAGCGTCAGCGGCTCTGAGGAGAGAGGGTGGGGGGGAGGGGGGAGAAAGGGGACAGAGAGAGGGTTGGGGGGGGGGGGGGGGAGAAAGGGGACAGAGAGAGGGTGGGGAGGAGGGGGAAGAAAGGGGACAGAGAGAGGGTGGGTGGACCATAGCAGAGCCTGGTTCAGATGCTGTTGAGGTGGAAGGACCGTAGGTGGCACCATGAGCGTCAGAGACTCGCTCTGCGTCTTGAAGAGGTGGAAGGAGAGGTCCCCGTGCTCGCACATGCTCCCCGTGAAAACGGGGAGCCTGTCCGATTGATTCACGGACTCACTCGTGCACCAGGACCTGCTCCTGCTTGCGCCTTGAGACGTCTCAAACCTCGAGTCGGGCACCGTAAGGGTCACACACTCACTATAACACAGCTCAGCACACACTCACTCTGCGTCTTGAAGAGGTGGAAGGAGAGGTCCCCATGCTCGACAAACTCATACACGAGGATCTGCTCCTGCTTGCCGCTCTCCATGTCCATGTCGTGGCAGAAGCCCAGTAGCCTCACCAGGTTGGCGTGATGCAGACTCGCCATCGCCCGCACCTGGGGAGGAAGTGAAGGGCACAAGCACGTGGGTTAAGGCACAAGCACGTGGGTTAAGGAACAAGCATGAAAGGATGAGAGGATCTGCTCCTGCTTGCCACTCTTCATATCCATGTTGTGACAAAAGCCCAGCAGCCGCACCAGGTTGGCGTGCATGATGCAGACTCGCCATGGGGGAAACTGATGGGGGAAACTGATGGGGGAAGCTGATGGGAGAGACTGATGGGAGAAACTGATGGGGGAAACTGATGGGGAAAACTGATGGGGGAAACTGATGGGGGAAACTGATGGGGGAAGCTGATGGGAGAAGCTGATGGGAGAAACTGATGGGGGAAACTGATGGGGGAAACTGATGGGAGAAGCTGATGGGAGAAACTGATGGGGGAAACTGATGGGGGAAACTGATGGGGGAAACTGATGGGGGAAGCTGATGGGAGAAACTGATGGGAGAAACTGATGGGGGAAACTGATGGGGGAAACTGATGGGGGAAACTGATGGGAGAAACTGATGGGAGAAACTGACATGAGGATGATGCGCTTGACAGCCCAGAGCTGCCCCGTGGCAGGGTTGACCCCCTTGTACACGACCGCAAAGCCCCTTTCGCCCAACACGTTCTAATCCGCCCAGTGCTGCTGGGGGTGACACCCTTGTACACCACGCAAACTCCATACCCGCTACAGGCTTCCTCACCTCCGTTTCAAAGTCGTTGGACATGAGCGTGATTCTCTTGACAGCCCAGGGCTGCCCCGTGGCGGGGTTGACGCCCTTGTACACGATGGCGAAGCCCCCCTCGCCCAGCACATTCTCCTCTGCCCAGTCGTTGGTGGCCTTCCTCATTGTTGCGATGGAGAACTGCTGACACACGTCCAGGTCGCTCCAGCGCTCTGAAGGGAGGGATAGAGGGGGAGGTTGGGAAGGGAAGAGAAGAGGGAGGGTGAGGAGAGGGAGTGGGCAGGGATGAAGAGTGGTATGGACGCAGTCTATTCATTGCTCTCAGTTGCATTCTACCTTGTACGATACGAGGTAGCAAACGGGCGATGCATTGTGAGGGGCATGTGAGATTCTCAAGAACCTCGAATAAGGGAACGGAAGGGCAGTGTGGCGCGGAGGAACTTACTCCTCCGCTCGCTCGGGGCGCAGCAAGACGCAGAACGTGGAGTGGAGGAGCTTACTCTTCTTTTTGGGGCGCAGCAGCAGGCAGAGCACAGACGCCAGGAGCGCGATGCCCAGCAGGCAACTGAGACCCACGATGGCTATCATGGGGATAGAGGACGAGGTTGCTGTGGGGCACGGGAGGGTGAGGGCACCAAGGTGAGGACATGAGGGGTGAGGGAGTGTGAAGGACGTGAGTGGGTTGAGGAGCCTCAAGGCAAGCAAAGCAGAACGATTCCCAGGTGGGAGATGAGACTCGCAATGACTGCTATGGGGCAGGGGAGGGTGAGGTCACGAGGGCAAGGGAGTGTGAAGGAGCCTGAAGACAAGCAGAGCACAACTTGGGCAGGGGGAGTGTGGAGGCTGGTACTGTGCTTCTGTTGACGTTTGGCATGCACTGAAGGAGCCTCAAGGCAAGCAGAGCATAGCTTGGGCATGGCACGCAGCTGACCTGAGAAGGATGCTTCAAGAAGTGACTTCAGTATTGGCCACGCAAAGCACTGAGAGGGATGCACCCGACGGCTGCTGTTGAGGCTGCTGCCTCACACAGACACCACACTCGCCAGCAGACCCGGAATTCGCATTTGAGGCGCCTCCGAGGCAGGAGGCTCACTCTCAGTTGCAAAGGCACACTCTTGAGGTGCCTCAAAAGAGGCAGGAAAACTCACTCTCATTGGCGAAGGCACAGGTGGAGCCGTTGTCAACGGTGATAGTGACGTAGGACTCCTCACACAAGCACCTCACACAAGCACCAGAACTCACCTGAACTGTCCAGAATCCAGTGGACCTTGCATTGCCTTTTGGGCTGATTACTCACTCTCTGTGGCAAAGGCACAGGTGGAGCCGTTGACAACCGTAACAGTGACGTAGAGCACGCCTCACACAAGCACCTCAACTCGCCTGAACTGTCCAGTGGGCCCTGAATTGCCTTTTGACCTTTTCTCTGGTTGCTTTGAGCTGATTACTCACTCTCAGTGGGGAAGGCACATGTGGAGCCGTTGTCAACAGTGACAGTGACGTAGGGCGCCTCACACCTGCACTTGAACGCCCCCCCACTCGTCCCCTGCTCGGGCGGCACACACGCCCCCCTCCCATTGCACGGCCCCAGGTCTGTCACACTGCAGAACGCCGCGCACTCCTCTGCACCCCTCTGCACCTCCGTCACAGCGCACTTAACCTGCCAGTTCACCGACAGACAATTGCCCTTATAGCTCGCCTGCACAGTCGCATACGCCGCAACGCACTGCACAGCCTCTAGAGCCGAGTCAGATTCGCTGCGCTTGCTACCCCCGGCACTATCCCCCAAACTATTGAGATCAGACATGTTGATTCGGGTGATGCGGGGGGTGGGGCACGCCTTAAAGCCCCCCGCGTACACGATGGGGTCGCCGTAAAAGTAGTTGTGGGCGAGGTTGATGACGGCTGGCTTGGTGTAGCCGCTGGTGGGCTTGGGGACCATGCCGACAAAGTCCATGTTGATGGGGCCGTAGAACGAGTTGTTGCTCATGTCGCTGCGGGGGAGAAGGGGGTTGGGGAAGGAGGGGGGGAGGGACAGTGGAATGAGGGAATAGGGTTGCTCAACCTTGGGGACCATGCCCACAAAGTCCATGTTGATCGGGCCGTAGAACGAGTTGTTGCTCATGTCGCTGTAGTGGGATGGGGAGGGGGACGGGGAGTGGCATTGATGGGGGAATAGGTTCCGTCAAGCTTGGGGACCATGCCAATGAAATCAAGGTTATGGGGCCGTAGATTGAATAGTTGCTCATGTCGCTGCAGGAGAGAAGGAGAGAGGGACAGGTGAGGAAAAGAGAGGAATGGGAGGAGCCATTCTCAGTAACTATTGAAAGGGCACGCCTTGAAATCACGTCAGGGTCCCCATAGAACTAGCTGAGGAAGGACGAGAGCTTACACGTAGTTGAGGGCAGGGAAGTTGAACAGGCAGGTGGGGAAGCTGCCGTAGAGATGATTGTTGCTCAAGCCACTGTGGCATGTACAGCACACACAGAGAGCGATGCAGGTTAGCACATGCAGGTGAACAGACACAAGTGAACACATACCCACGCAGACACATGTACATACCATGTGCACATCTTGAAATCATGCGTGAAGTTACATGCGCACAAACTGGATAAATGACGCACAAGCAAGGAAAAGACACATACTGCGCGCATCTGTGATCGTCAGCGCACACACACCCATGCATGCATCTGCGCTCATCTGAATGAATGCAGCACTCGATCACATGTCTCAAAGCCAAAGAGCCATGCGTTGATCCATTCTCTGACACCCCCCACCAAACCAGTGCTGTGTGTGAATCGGTCATTTACATGCGTTGAGCCACACTCTCTCTTGCATTGACACTCACACTCACACTCACACCTACTCTCAGCTACTCACATGGCCTCTAATGCCGTGAGGTTGCAGATGGCTGCAGGCAGCTGCCCTTCGAACGCATTGCCATCCAAGAGGCTGTGCCACATACGGGTGGGCATGGGAAAGCAGGCATCGGGTAGGCATGGGGAAGCAGCCGACGTCGGCATGGGGTAAGAGGCATGGGGGCGAGCAAGAATGGGGCCGGCACGGGGTGGAAAAATGAGAGGCGGGGGAGAAGGTGGCAAGAGAGGAGGCACATGGTAGAGGGCAGGCAGCCTACCAGGGCACAGCATGCAGAAGCAATATTATGCATACCCGCAAGCAGCAGGGGTAGGGGGTTGCTGGGGATGGGGTGGGGAGGGCTCACAGCTGCACGGTGGCGTTGAGGGCACCCAGAAACTCGGGGAGTGGGCCCGAGAGAGAGTTGTCTGCTATCCACCTGTGGGCGGAGGGGCGCGAGCAGGTGTGGTGAGGGAGAGGATTAGAGGAGTAGATAATGGTCAGAGGGGTTGATGGAGGAGCGGGTTCTGGTGGAAAGGGGATGATGGTGGAAGGGGTTGATGAGGGAAGAGATGGGGCGAGGTTGAAATGGTGAGGGCGGGAGAACCAGGAAAGAGATAGTCAGCTTTCGAAATGAATGAATGCGGGACGGGATGACGAGAGAAACATGCCATGATTCAACACTGCTAAGTGCTTGCAATTGACTCGCTGACTCCGCGAGTGTTGAGACATCTCAAATCTTTGAAGAGGCAAGTTGAGGTGAGGAGGAGATCACACACAGCGTGTTGAGGTGGGGTGGGGAAGAGGACACTCACAGCATGTTAATCTTCCTGAGTGCTGAGAAGCCAGAGGGGATGGAGCCTGATAGCTGATTGCTCTGAAGCGTGCTGCACAGCAGAAGAAAAAGGGTGCGTTGTAGGGGGTGCGTTGGTGAGGCACCGTGTGTATTTAGTGTGTATAGGGTGTAGGGAGCGCAGAGAGTGCTAGGAAGTGCATACAAGAGTGAAGGGAGTGCGTACAGAGTGTAGAGGGAGGAGAGAACGCTGATGGAATCAGGTATGGGACCCGTGAGGTTGTTGAATCCAAGGTACCTGCATGTGCGGGAGGTGTGGGGGACAATAGGGCGAAACAGGGGGGAGAACTGAGGTTTTCATGGGTACTCTACGGGTCGCAGAGAGAGGGAGGAACGGGAGCAAGACCAAGGGTGAGGAGCAGGAGAGCTGAGCCTTAAGGCAGGTGTTTAGGCTGTAAAAGGCATGCAGTGAAGCGGGCGCACAGGGCAGAGGGGGCGCACAGGGCAGAGGGGGCGCACAGGGCAGAGGGGGCGCACAGGGCAGAGGGGGCGTTTGAGATGACTGAAAAGCAGTGAGGCATACAGGGAAGTAAGAGCGTACAGGGCGTTGAGGGCATACAGGGCAGGGAGAGCATACAGGGCATTGAGTGTGGTGTTGCGCCAGGCGTTGAAGTCTGGAAGCGGCCCTGACAGGCTGTTGCCCTCCAGCTTGCTGCAGTGCCATGGGTTGGTGGAAAGGGGAGGGGCTGAGCGGGCAGCGTTGTATTTCCAGATATTACACAACACAGAGACATGATATTTGCTTAACAGGAACCGGAAACCAGTGTGCTGCAATAGTTTGCTTCGGATGCGCATGGTAATGTGGTAACGTGATACTTTGGTAGCCTGGTAGGTGGCAACGTGGTTACAGCATGGCAAGGGAGGTGCTTGTGCTGAGGTGTGGAGGAAGCGAGCCCTGCAGCTTGTTGTACGCGAAGGAGCTGCAGGACAAATGATGGCGAGGGAGGGCGAGAGAGTGAGTAAAGCACACACAGAGTGCACAGTAGCAGCATTCAGTATCACTGATGGCGGTAACACATCAGCAGCATTCCGAAAACAGCACAGGCACTGTCGTGGCAGTACATGCACTGCGACGGCAGCAGGCAGCACTCCTGGAGAAAGAGTGGAGAAGGCATCAGCCGATTGCAATCCCTCGAAACTCTCCACATGTCATGTTGTCACAATGCCATGCCAGGTGACGTCATGCCATGCATCCCAAGTCATGCCAGGCAGGCCACGTCACCCAGGCCTGCCACGTGGCAGGCAGGCAGCATGCTCACAGGTCGTTGATGTTGGGCGAGAGGAAGAGGCCGGCAGGGATCTCCCCCACCATGTGGTTGCCATCCATGTACCTGGTGGCATGGAGGGTGGTGGCGTGGGGGGTGGTGGCATGGAGGGTGGTGGCGTGGGGGGTGGTGGCGTGGGGGGTGGTGGCGTGGGGGGTGGTGGCGTGGGGGGTGGTGGCGTGGGGGGTGATGCCATGGGGGGCGATGCCATGGGGGGTGATGCCATGGGGGGTGATGCCATGGGGGGTGATGCCATGGGGGGTGATGGCATGGGGGGTGATGCCATGGGGGGTGATGCCATGGGGGGTGATGCCATGGGGGGTGATGCCATGGGGGGTGATGCCATGGGGGGCGATGCCATGGGGGGTGATGCCATGGGGGGTGATGCCATGGGGAGTGATGCCATGGGGGGTGATGCCATGGGGGGTGATGCCATGGGGGGTGATGCCATGGGGGGTGATGCCATGGGGGGTGATGCCATGGGGGGTGATGCCATGGGGGGTGATGCCATGGGGGGTGATGCCATGGGGGGTGATGCCATGGGGGGTGATGCCATGGGGGGTGATGCCATGGGGGGTGATGCCATGGGGGGTGATGCCATGGGGGGTGATGCCATGGGGGGTGATGCCATGGGGGGTGATGCCATGGGGGGTGATGCCATGGGGGGTGATGCCATGGGGGGTGATGCCATGGGGGGTGATGCCATGGGGGGTGATGCCATGGGGGGTGATGCCATGGGGGGTGATGCCATGGGGGGTGATGCCATGGGGGGGTCATGCCATGGGGGGTCATGCCATGGGGGGTCATGCCATGGGGGGGTCATGCCATGGGGGGTCATGCCATGGGGGGTCATGCCATGGGGGGTGATGCCATTGGGGGTGATGCCATGGGGGGTCATGCCATGGGGGGTCATGCCATGGGGGGTCATGCCATGGGGGGTGATGCCATGGGGGGGCGATGCCATGGGGGGTGATGCCATGGGGGGTGATGCCATGGGGGGTGATGCCATGGGGGGTGATGCCATGGGGGGTGATGCCATGGGGGGTGATGCCATGGGGGGTGATGCCATGGGGGGTGATGCCATGGGGGGTGATGCCATGGGGGGTGATGCCATGGGGGGTGGTGCCATGGGGGGTGGTGAGGCATGGCATGGCATGGCATGGGTTGGCATAGGTGGGATTGCATGGAAAGCTGGGACATAGGGCATGCGGTGTGGCACATGGTTGATGAGCAATGATGACGACATGGTGTTGGGGGCACAGAGCACGGGGTATGGGCTATGACGCATGGAACATGAGGGTCTATTGTAATAGACAAGAGATGGTGCAAATGGTGCGTGGTGATTCATACACACAAGACGCGATGCATGGGCTACAAAGCATGTGTCACCGAATATGCACGGTTTTGCATATAAGGTGCCAGTGATGCTGTGGTGTAGTGTGGGGTGTAGCATTACCGAATATGAACATTTGGGGTGTAGGTAGTTGGGAACCAGGGAGAGTGTCGCGAAGTTGGTAGGAGAGCTCCGAGGGGTGCAATCCAAGGAACCAATGCGAATGAACCAAACCAAGCTCGAGGCGCACATTGAGAAATGCACGCTTCGAGCCAGGGACAGGTAAATTCACTAACACACACTCACTCGTTGCTTTTCTCTTGTTATCCTTTCATATAGTGGATCGTTGTTACCTTCATCCTACGGCTAGGTGACACACCACTCAGGGAGGACCCTTGAGGTGGGAGCTTTGTCTCTTCCAATGGGAGTGGCTGAGGCAACACAAGAAGCTTCAGGGAGGAAGGGAGTCAGAACGAAGGCAGGTGGCAGGCAAAGCTGTTTCTCCGACACATGGAACATGAGGGTCCATGGTACACAAGGCATTGTGCATATTGTGCGTGGTGATTCATACACACAAGACGTGATGCATGGGTGATGGGGCAGAGGAAGCAAGGACGCACAGGTATATGAGGTTTTTGAAGGAGGTGAGCTCGGTTGGGAGGGGTCCTTCAAAGTTGTTGTACGAGAGGTCTCTGCTTGGCCGTGCACGGAGTGGGAGGAGGGAAAGGAGTGGAAGGGGTGGAGGGGTGGAGGGGGCTGAAGAGATGCATCACTCACAAAAGGGATGGGCAAAGAGGGAAGGGAATGATGGGGTGTGGCTTGGGACGGTGGGATGTGGCACAGGTGAAGTGCAAAGTGGTGCGATGCGATAAGTCCGATCCCTTGGCAAGAGAGCAGCAGACTGGGGTTGGCACAAGTGAGTGATATGGGTAGGCGTGAGTGAGTGATGGAGAGCGCTTACATGAGCCCAAGCTGGGTGAGGGTCAGAAGAACAGACGGGAAGGTTCCCTCGAAGTTGTTATATGCAAGATTGCTGCACAGGCGAGTCATGGGGTGGGGGCAATTGAGGGGGAAAATCGCAATGCATGGTGATAGAATACAGCTCATTCTTAGGAGGTTGTACTCATGCTTTCTTTGACTGCGAAAATCAAATGCCATAATCATCTCATTACATATTCGCTCTGATCATGCGCTTGCAATGAGCGCTTGTGAAACGCACAGGGCATCGAGGCTGGTGAGGTGGGAGAAGGACGCGGGCAGAGAGCCCGAGAAGCTGTTGTTGGTCAGGTCCCTGCAGCAGGGGCGAGTGGATGGGTGGAGGGATGACGGGGAGGAGAAAGGGAAGGCCGAACTGGAAAGGTCATTCAAGGAAAATACAGGGAGGAGCTATTGGAGGGATTGGAGTGATCTGAAGGTGCTTGATGGTGGGACTCTTGGACAAACGGTGTGCAACCCTTCTTCTATCCAAGTGCATGCAGTGCAGGTGCAGGTGCAGGTGCAGCCACTCCATCTTGGGCCGAGAAGTGGGGATAGGTCACTCACAGCATGTAGAGCCAGTCCATTTGGCTGAGCACCTCCAGGCCGGACGAGAGGAAGTTGCCCATGAGAAAGCTGCGCGTGGAGAGGTGCGGGGAGAGGGGCGAGAGTGGGAGGTGAATAGAGGAAGACCGGCACAATGATGGGCAATGCAGATGGGTGAAGCAAATGGAAGAAGTTGATACAGAGACTATAGATGAACGGAGTGAGCCGAGGGAGGAGAGGAGGGTCGGAGAGAAGACGGTTGTGTGGGGAATAGGAGGAGGAGCAGAGAGCAGAGGGAAAGGATAGAGGGTGCGCACAGTTCGGTGAGGCCAGTAAGTGCTGTGAATTGAGCGGGAATGGCTCCCGTGAAGCCGTTGGTCCTCAGCTCACTGTGTGCGCGTTGTGGGAGGGGGGAGAGAGAGGGTGAGGGGGAAGAGAGAGGGCGAGGGGGAAGAGAGAGGGTGAGGGGGAAGAGAAAGGGCGAGGGGGAAGAGAGAGGGTGAGGGGGAAGAGAAAGGGCGAGGGGGAAGAGAGAGGGTGAGGGGGAAGAGAAAAGGCGAGGGGGAAGAGAGAGGGTGAGGGGGAAGAGAAAAGGCGAGGGGGAAGAGAGAGGGTGAGGGGGATAGGGTGAACGGTCAAAGAGGATGGAAGACAGATGGTGATTGCTTAAAGGTGAGGGAGAGAGGAGGAAAGGAGATGAATGGGGGAGGATGGGAGATGGTGACAGCAGAAGAGCGAGGGGTGGAAGACCAGTGGGATTGCATATGGTAGTGGCAAAACCAGCAGGGGCAGAGGGATGCTTTTTGAGTCGACTCAAGGAACACACAGAATGCAAGGAGAAGCGGGAGAAGGAGGAGCGGGAGGAGCAGGAGCGCAGGGGAGGACTGACAGGTTGGTGAGCAGAGTGAGGGAGCCAAGGAAGGACGGAACGCTGCCTTGGAACCTGTTGCCGCCCAGCTGCCTGCCAGTGGTGCAGTGCAGCGCATTTGGGAAAGTTGAAAAAACGCACTCATAGCGTGTGCATGCATCGAAGAACTTTTGGAAACAGGCCTGTGCGTTGTAAGCAACGGGGCGTCGTACAGTCACAAAAGATAGTGAGCAAGGCACTAACACAGCCTGTAGCACTCACAGTGACTGCAGCGGCACCCACATGGGAGGATGGGGATGGCATGGACACAGCAGTGAGCACTCACAGTGACTCGAGGGTGGGGCTGAAGACATCGGGCAGCGATCCTGAGAGCTGATTCAGGCCGAGGTTGCTGTGGTGCATGGACGGGCGTGAGGGGTACGGGATGAGACACATGAGCACACACTTGCACATCCAGACGCACATGCACGTGTGCAGCACACGCATATACTCACATGCGCATGCACATGCAGAAGCACGTTCAGTGGAGGGGCACATGCATGCACGCATACAGCATGTATGGTGGGAGCAGCACAGGCACAGGCAGAGGGCGGGGACTGACAGTGTCTTGAGCGAGCGGAGGGAGGAGAACTGGCGCGGGATGGATCCCACCAGCTGGTTGTACTCGAGCGACCTGCACAGGGGAGAGGACGAGCGGTGGGGAAGAAGACACGACCTGACCTGAACCCTGGGGCAGATGGGCGATTGGAGGGAAGAGGAGGGAGGGCGATGAGGTAGCAAGGCAGGGAGGGCCACGTTGAGAAGTCTCCAACGGGCTGATGGAATGTGGAGCTGATTGCCTGCCTTTGATGAAAACCAGGGAGCCTAGCTTATAGCGCGGACAGAGGGGGCCACTCACAGCATGGTGAGGTTGGTGAGGGACCCCCATGACTCAGGCAGGAAGCCCACCAGCCCGTTGCCCTTGGCCATGCTGTATGGTGGGCGATGGGCGCGTGGGTGAGTGGTGAGTGGTGGGAGGGCGGGCGGATGGGGGAAGGGGACAGAAGGAGAACGCAACCATCCTTACCAAACGGCTTAGCATGCGCGTCATGGGGAACCAGGAAAAGAGGGAGAAAGCCCCCTTGACATTCCATTCAATGTTATCTCATCTGCTCATATCAGCACACGGATACATGCTCCACAAACTTGCATACATCACACCCTGTCTCACATACACCCTGCCCGTGCTCGCATGCATGCATCCATAGCGCACTGAGTGGCACATGAGGGGCGGCGGCACTGACAAGAACTCCAGATGGGAGAGCCGTGAGAGGTCCTGCGGCACAGCCCCCGTGCGCAGGTTGGCCTCGTGCGTCACGTCGCTGTGGCAGGAAGGGCGACGGGGGAATAGGGGCACACACACACAAGGGACGGGCACGAGGGGGTGAGGGAGGGACACAAGGCGAGAGGTCCTGCGGCACAGCCCCCGTGCGCAGGTTGGCCTCGTGCGTCACGTCCCTGTAGTGGGGCGATGCAAGGGGCGATGGAGAGGCACAAGCGGGGGAAGGAGGGACACGAGGAGGGCAAGGAGGAACACAGAGTGAGAGGTCCTGCGGCACAGCGCCTGTTTGCAGGCTGGCCTCGTGCGTCACGTCCCTGTGGTGGCAGGGGCGAGGGGCGAGGGGAGGTGGGAGAAGAGAGGAGTGGAGTGAAGGAAGAGAAGCTGGAAGGGTCGGAGAATGGTCAGAGGAGAGGAACATCGGGGAGTGTGTGCGAAGGACAACGGGCAAATGGAGAGGAGAGGGTTTGCCACCCTAATCCAGAGTGTGACGAATGCAGAGAGCATGCAGAGAAATCGAGTGAGTTACATCTTGCAACCAGTCAGATAGAAGTAAGCGCGTGCACTGATTTTGTATTGCCACTGACCAGGACAGGCTAGGCAATAGGAGGACGTACAGGTATCGCAGTTCGGAAAGCGCTGTGAGCCAGAAAGGGAGCTGCTTGAAACGGAGAAAAGACAAGTCCCTGAAGGGAGGGGAAGGCAGTGCAACAGTGAAACCATGGCGCTATGGCGTCACTACGAGCAAGTTTAGTGTTTGCGCTTAGGATGGCGATTTCATGTTTCAGATTTCGGGTTTCAAGATTCATGTGTGACAAAGTCTGATCAGGAGGCCAGGTGGGTGCAGTGGTGCTTGTTAGTGTTAGCCTTCAATCTCACACTATATACTTTGTATTTTCTATATCCTAGAGTAGTGTAGTTTGCACATTGTGTTTGGTTGGGTGTACACCTTACATCCCAACCAAACCCAAATGTAATCTCCAAGCAATCTCCAACCCACCAATTGGAGATTGCCTTGGGATTACCCCCAATCCCTATGGATTGCCCCCGATTCCCTTCCCCATCCATTCCCTCCCCTTCTTGGATGTACTTAAAGAGCTTCAAGCTCATTACTAATGTATCGCTTCTAAGCCTAAGTTATGAGATGGTATCAGAGCCCTTCAAACCGCACACGCGGATCGTGATCCTCTTATCTCTGCGGATGTTCGTCCCGCAAACCTCGACGTAACCGCCTTCAATCTCGTCGCCGTTGATTCTCGAATCTCGACATTCGTGGGCGGAAATTCTTCCGCACCACTTTCCCTTCACTCTCGACGGCATCTACTATCTCACTGGTAAGCGCATCGTCGGCGCTTTAACCTATCGCTCGTTTTCGTCGAACATCATCGCATCATTCCTTCTCCTCGTCGGGCTGTCGCCCGTCGCCCTGCAGCTTCTCGTCGGGCCGCCGCCCGTCGCCCTGCAGCTTCACCTTCGGGCTGCCGCCCGTCGCTCCGCATCTGCACTCCTACTCCCATCCCCCTCCCTTTCCCGCAGCTGAACAGGTGCAGCAGCGCAGCCGAGCAGCAGCGCAGCCGAGCAGCAGCGCAGCCGAGCAGCAGCGTAGCCGCGAAGCCGAGCAGCCGTGTAGCCGCGAAGCCGAGCAGCAGCGCAGCCGAGAAGCTGAGGGTGGTGTGTGGGGGGGTGTGTGGGAATAGGATTAGTAGGTAGTTGACACTAAATTGGCGTTTCAAGTCGAATTCTCCTTCAGAAACCCTAAACCTCAAAATTCTCTTTCGTAAACCCTAAACCTCCGGTTATTCAAAATCTCCTTCGGAGACCCCAAACCTCAAGTTCCTATCGTTGACTCAAGAGCGGCGCTCCGCGCGACACCCTAAGGGGTCTCCATCATGGCATTCGCCTCGTCCACCATGTCCAACCCCATCACCCCACTCCGTCTTGACGCCGATGGCTCTAGCTCCAACTTCAAGTCATGGAGCTATGGGGTTGACAAGCACCTGCTGAGCCGTGACGTGCAGGGATTGGACCTCAAGGATGTCCTCCTCAATCGAGGCAAGGGAAAACAGCCCCTTCTCCCTCGCGAGCCGACCGAATCCGCTAGTGAGGCTGACACAAAGGCATGTGAGGAAGCAGTTGAGAAGTACCGGAAGTGGGAGAAGGCCGATGCTGCAATTATCAGCGTCTTCATCGCCTCCACCCCTCCAGAACTTGTCAACACGTTCCATAACTACCCTACCTCCAACGCCATCTAGAAGTATCTCCAGGATCGGTTTATGAACAAGACTGCAGTCGGAGTTGCCATCCTCATCCCCAGCATGTTCCAGGTCCGCCTTGAGGATTGCTCGGGAATGGCCGACTACATTGCCAAGGTTCAGACCATTCATGGCGAACTCAAGGAAGATGCTCCTCACGCTGACTGCGGAAGACCTCACTTTTGCCAAGGTCTCCACCGCATTCCTCCCTGCCGAGAAAGACTCCTACGGCTCAGGCCAAGGCTTACGCCATCCGTGCTCCCATGCCTCAAGCCAGTGTCGCATCGGCCCTTGCCTCGGCGCCCCTCCAGCGCAACCGCTTCCCACCGTGCACCTACGTCGTCAAGTTTGGCAACCGCAAGGGACAAGTGTGTGGTGGCACTAACCACCCCCTTGCTACGTGCTTCAAGAAGAAGGACGACGAATGGTACGCCATCCACGGCATAGACAAGAGGCCACCGAACTGGATGCGTGCGCGTAAAGCTAACCTGGTTGAGGTGTCAGGACCCCGCTTCGGCTAGTGCTAGTGATAGTGCTCCTGCTGATGCCCGTATCAACCTGTTGTTCCCTGGCACTGCCATGATTAATGAAGCTTCCTCCCAGTACCTCGGCTCATCACAAGCACCACATTACATAGAGTTCACACTCGACAGCGGCGCCACACACACTGTACTCGAGGAGACACTCTCCTTCAAACCCTACGCAACACCCATCCCTCTCCTAGGAGCTGACTCAAGCTTCACCACTCATGCCAAGGGTTCATCCACAGTCCCGTGCCCCGCCTTCCCTTCCGGCACTGTCACTGGAATGTGCGTGCCTTCACTCCGCCACAATCTTGTGGCCCAAACGGAAATTCAGGAAGCTGGACTACGCACCATCTTCTGAGAGAACGAGAACTATGGTGATATCCTCGACCCACTCACCAACAAGGTCTTGACTCGTTTCACCCTCAACAGCAGCGGCCTTTACACGCTGCAAGTACCCATCCCATAGGTGTCAACCACCCAAACAGCGGCGACTACGTCACCATGCTCGTGCCGCAGTTTCTCCAACCCGACCATACTCTACCACCATCGGCTCGGGCACCCAAACTTCCGCACACTTGCTGACATGGCCTCCAAGAAACTTCTACTCGGCCTGCCAGCCTCACTTCCTCCACCACCAGACTCTCCCGCTCCCACGTGCCTTGACTGCACCAAGAGCAAACTGCGTCAACAGCCCCACCCGGCCTCACCCTCTGTCGCAGCAGGACCACTGGACCTGGTACACCTGGACTTCTGGGGCCCTGCCCCTGTTCCCCGCACGAGGTGGTTATCGCTACTTGTTATCGTCAATGACCACTCTCGCTACGTCTCTGTTCACCTCCTCCACACTAAGGCTGCGGTTCCAGAGGTCCTCATGGCGTGGGTTAGACAGGCACAGACCGCCTTTGACCGCAAAGTCAAGCGCCTCCACTCAGATGGTGGTGGTGAGTTTTGCAACGACAAGCTCAAAGCCTTCTGACTCTTCAGAAGGCATCCAGCAAAACTTCACCCTCCCTGACAGCCCGCAGCAGAACGGCATAGCTGAGAGCCGCAACCACACCCTGGTGCAGATCACTCGGTGCCTCCTCAGCCACTCCAACGCTCCACACTCTCTCTGGGGGTACGCTCTCTACCACGCCGCCCTCCTCTACAACCTTTACCCCCACCCGCATCTTCCCGACACCACTCCAACCACACTCTGGCTCGGGAAAACGCCCAGTGCTCGCTCTCTTCGCGTTTGGGGGTGCACCGCCTATGTCCTCCTCAACCCTCAGGCTCGACGGCAGCACGGCGGTAAGCTCAGTCCCAAGACCCAGACATGCATCTACCTCGGACACAACGCCGACTCGCCTGACTACCTCTTCCTCAATCCCTCCACTCAGCAGTTGGTCCGGAGCCGCGACGTTGTCTTTGATGAGACCCGCCCATTCTACTCCACTTCGGGACGGGACCCTCTCCCTGACCCACCCTCCCTCGTGTGGGCAGACTTTGATGCGCCTCCTGACCTCTCGCCTGCTCCGGCCCCTTCACCTCCTACCCCTCCTGCCACCGCACCGTCCCCCTCTGCGGTCTCTGACCCGCCCTGACCGGTGTCTTCGGCAGCTGCTCCTCCATCCCCCTCACTTCCCACTCCGCCGACTGTGCAGCCACCTCCGAGCGCACCTATCACCTACCATCGGCGGTCCCACCCTCCGGCCCCACCTCCTCCCCCAGTTCCCCCCACCACAGAGGAACCCGCTCTCCCACAGTCGCCCGAGCTGATCACATACCACCGGCGGCCCATTCCCCCGCCCTAGCCTCCTAAGTCAACCCCTCCGACACCGCCTGCCCCACCCTCTTCTCCAGTGGCTCATGGCACTCGTTCGCATGGCGTGGCTCTTCCACTAGCGCTAGTTCTTCGATACACGGCGATCACACTGCTTCCTCCTGCTAGGGGGGATGTGCCCTCTACCCTTCTGGAAGACAAGCATGAGGAGCTGTGTGATCTTCATGCAGTCATTCCTCAGCTCTCGCACATCTTCCCCGACATCACTGACTCACCCTCCCTCAACTTCGCGGAGAACCCGACCATCCCTATCCCTCTCACCGTCCAAGAGGCTCTCTCAGGCCCTCATGCTGCCGAATGGCGTGCTGCCATGGAAGCGGAGATTGCAGCATTCACCCGCAACCACTCCTTCGACGACGAGACACCACCTCCAGGAGTCAACATCGTCGGGGGCAAGTGGTTGTTCCGTGTAAAACAGTTCCCAGACGAGGCCCCTGGTGTT